CCAGTAAGAAAGCAGGTGTAGCTATCCTGATATCTGACAAAATAAATTTTTCATTAAAATCAATACAAAAAGACAAGGATGGACACTACATATTAATACAGGGAACAATCCAAGAGGAGGATATTACTACCATCAACTTATATTCCCCAAACACTGGTGCAACCAGATATGTTAAGCAAATACTCTCAAACTTACAGAATAAAATAGATCCCAATACGATAAAACTAGGAGACTTTAACACCCCACTCTCACCAAAAGACAGGTCTACCAACCAGAGGATTGGGAAAGAAACTACAGAATTAAGTGAGGCCATACTTCAAGCGGAATTAACTGACATCTACCAAGTATTTCACCCTAAAACAACACAGTACACATTCTTCTCAGCAGCTCATGGAACTGTCTCCAAAATAGACCATATCATAGTTCAAGCAAGGAACTTAAACAAATACAAAGGGATCGACATAATCCCCTGTATCCTATCTGACCACAGTGGAATCAAACTAGTTCTCAATAACAAAGCATAATGCAGAAATTACTCAAATACATGGAAATTGAACAGCACACTTCTAAGCAATGCCTGGTTAACGGAAAAGATCAAAGAAGAAATTTAAAAATTCCTACAACTCAATGATAATGAAAACACATCACAAAGAAACTTGTGGGATACAGCAAAAGCAGTCCTGAGGGGCAAATTTATTGCCCTCAGTGCCCACATCAAGAAAATAGAGAAAGACCAACTAAATAATCATGTTGCAATAAACAGCTAGAAAAACATGAAAAATGGAACCTAAAGTTACTAGAGGGAGCCAGATAACCAAACTAATAGCAGAGATTAATAGAATAGAGAATCGGAGAATCATAGCCAAAATTAACCAAACAAAAAGCTGGTTCTTTGAAAAAATAAAAAAAATTCATGGACCATTGGCAAGATTAATTAAAAAAAAAGAAGAGAGGAAACCCATATTAACAGGATTAGGGATGCCACCGGAAAAATCATAACACATACCCAAGATATCCAAACAATCTTAATGAACTACTTTCAAAAGCAGTCCTGGCAGAAATGGATGCATTTTTAGAGAAATACAAGTTGCCCAAACTGAGCAAAGAAGAAGTAAATCAATTAAATAAGCCAATATCCTTCAACGAAATACAGGAAGCAATCAGAAGTCTTCCAACAAAGAAAAGCCCAGGACCAGATGGATTCACAACAGAATTCTACAAGACCTTTAAAGAAGAACTAATACCCATAATCCTCAAGCTCTTCAGAGAAAGAGAGGAGGGACCTATCCCAAACTCATTCTATGATGCCAATATCACACTCACCCTCAAACCAGGCAAAGATCCAACCAAAAGAGAATGACAGGCCAATTTCCTTGATGAACACAGATGCAAAGATCCTTAACAAAACTCTAGCTAACAGAATCCAGAAACACATAAAAAAAATCATACACTACGACCAGGTAGGCTTCATCCCAGAGATGCAGGGATGGTTTAACATACGTAAATCAATAAATGTAATCCAACACAGCAACAGAGCCAAGGTCAAGAATCACATGATTATCTCCACAGATGCAGAAAAGGCTTTTGATAAAATTCAACATTTATTCATGCTAAAAGCTCTGGAGAAAATAGGAATAGAAGGAACATTTCTTAAAACAATAAAAGCCATTTACAACAGACCAATAGGCCAATATTATACTTAATGGGGAAAAGCTACAACCAATTCTCCTAAAATCAGGAACAAGGCAAGGATGCCCACTGTCTCCACTCCTCTTCAATATAGTCCTGGAACCCTTAGCCAGGGCAATAAGGCAAGAAAAAGACATTAAAGGGATCTGCATAGGGAAAGAAGAAGTTAAACTATCCCTTTTTGCAGATGACATGATACTATACCTTCACGATCCCAAAAACTCCATCCCCAAACTCTTAGAAATCATAAATCACTTTGGCAAAGTAGCAGGATACAAAGTCAACCCACAAAAATCAGTCACCTTCCTGTACACTGACAATGTACAAGCAGAGAGGGAAATAAAGGAAGCAACCCCATTCACAATAACCTTCCAAAAAATAAAATAATTAGGAATTAACCTAACCAAAGATGTAAAAGAACTATTTAATGAAAACTATAAAAAGTTAAAGAAAGAAATTGCAGAAGACACTAGGAAATGGAAAGACCTCCCATGCTCTTGGATAGGCCGAATTAATATAGTGAAAATGGCATTAGTGCCAAATTTAATATACAAATTCAATGCAATTCCTATAAAAATCCCAATGACGTATATTTCTGAAATACAAACAGTCCAAAAATTCATATGGAACAACAAAAGACCTAGAATAGCCAAAACAATTCTAGGGAATAAAGACAACATGGGAGGGATATCCATGCCAAACTTCAAACTCTACCATAGAGCTATAATAACAATGACAGCATGGTACTGGCACAAAAACAGACCCGAAGACCAATGGAATAGAATAGAAGATCCAGAAATAAATCCACATGCCTACAGTCAGCTGATATCTGACAAAGGAGCGAAAGACATACAATGGAAGAAATACAGCCTCTTCGACCACTGGTGCTTGGAAAACAGGGCAACCACATGCAGAAGACTAAAAGTGGACCCCAG